CAGCTGTGGGTAGTTCCATGTCTGGAGGGTGAGCAGTTGGAAGTAATCATGATTGATGACTTTTCCTAGCCGGGGCCTGCTCTTTTGGTCCAGGGTTCCTCCTTCCAACATTGGCTTGCCACAATGCATGTTATGTTGTTAACAACATAATTATATAAACATTGAACAACTGTACAATATAATGTATGGGAATATTAGGAAATATAAATATGGCGGTGCAGTGGCTTCACTTTTATGTCATCATGAGCAATCCAGTTTTCTATTATAGATCAGTGGTTCAGACGCACCATTGGTGTTTGGGACAGGATGACTAACAGGTTTAGGAGTTTTCTTCTTCCACACTCTTCTCGAAGGACTGAAAATACTGGAGATTTCAGTGTCCTTTTCTGGAATATATAAGACATTCATATTAAAGGAAAGAAATTAAAATATTGTAAAAAAATATATATATATATTACACGGTAGCAAATCTCAACTTACGATAAACATGTACAGTTGAGAGAAGATCAAAGACTCTCTGTATTTCACTAAATGTTGCTCTACGTGTGGCGAAAGGAAGTACACGGACTCTCTGATCTTTGTTGTCCAGTGGTGCTCCGCGACCTCCAAAAAATATGGTCTTATTGTAACTTGGTGCTCGCAGGAAGATGGCACTTGCCTCCTTCAAATACTCAGCCCAGCTTTCTAGAAGATCGTGAATATCCTGGTTAAAAAAGGACGTATACATCAAAAACAATTCCAGACTCGTGAATTTAGAAAGTCAGTGTTATTCAAGTTTTTATATATAACAAAGGGTTGAAATTCAGAATTGAGTTGGAGGAACGTACCTTGAGCAGCGCTGCCTCATTGTAACGTCTGAGGGCTGCCCCTGCTGATTTAGGCCTGTGGCTGTGGTTCTGAGAGTCCCTCAGTCCCTGTGCGGTCCCTCGCTTCGCTCTCACTGTGTACCGATGGAACGTCTTATGCTGCAGAATTTCTTTTCTATGTGTTAGACAAATCAATTAGGGAATAGCATTTAAATAACTCTGGAATATTTGTGGTTCTAGACAAACATCTGAACTTTTCACTGACCCCTTAATAACTGTTCCAGCAAAGTGTCCACCACCAGTCATCAGAATTACCCAAATAGTTTTGTTTGATATTTTCAGTAAAGAGGAAACCAAGTCTTCCTCATTGTCCTGAGTATGACAACAGAATTAGATGAGACTGAATAGAGTGCTGCAGGAATGACTCCTAAAACTTGGAAATGAGTTAGCATTTCTGAACTTCTGGTTCTATTGTCCTAAAGTCAATGGGTCTTTTGATTGGGTTTTTGGTTAAATGACTTAAATAAGGTCTGCGTGCTTAACACAAGCTCAAGATATTTTTACGTTTTAATCTACGACACTCAATTGTGATTTTTGCGTGTCTTGAAAAAAGGTGGTTGCTAACAAGTGGCTAAATAGGATTAATGGGGCATTAAATGTCACCAAAACCACACCAAACAGGAAAACTAATCTACTAACTAGTCCGCTTTCACAGCCTTGTTTAACCTCACACTCTCTATTCTCACTCAAACTTGACTGAATGAGTTGTCAGAAGCTTAGTGATGGTGACGTTAAAGTGTCATGTGACATGGTGTAGTTGATTTATAGCCTAACTTACTGTATCATTTTAGCTTTTGACCTCTAGTGATTGTATTCAGGCTTCAAATTTTAAAAAGCTGTGATCATTAGTGAAGATTATCTTGATGAACCAAACGTATCATAAACCTCTGTTAATCACAGAGCTTATTTTCTGCAATAATCCAAATGACAACGGGAAAATCCTATTGGGTTTTTGTCAAGGGTACCATGGTGAAGCTAACCTCCGGGTTGGCCTACAAAAATATCATTCCCTGCAGCACTTTATAGAAAATAAAATTCAGGTATTTCAAAACAACACAATTTGATCTTGAACTGCAGAGACACTCCAGTACATAATCTAGTATGAGAAATGCTACAACAAATGTGCTTCCACCAATCAGAAAGCAAAATGCGTAAAGGTCATTATTTTATAAAATGCAATAGTTATTATTTTTTCATGTCTATTATTTAATGTTTCTGTGGAAAATAAACACTATTTTGACTAAACGGAAATTAAACTGGTAATAAAGTGTTTGTCATAATGTGCAGTAGCTCCTATTATGATCCTGTTTTCCTCTATCCTATCACTTTCTGTTTCTACTCAACTGGTCTAATCAATAAATGCAAAAAAAATCTCAAAATATATAACCCCATCATTAAAAATCTCTCTGAGAATAATCTGTTAAGTGGAGATTCTTCTTGGCCAAAGATCTTTTTATTTAGGCACAGACTAACAAATCTGAGAAATAATGGATAGATTTACTCACTTTCTTGCTTTGCAGAACACAGTGATACAATGACAGGTACTGTCCCTGCATGTTTTGAAAGACTACTTTGGTAGAAAGTCGACGTGTGGACTGATCTGTGTCCAGAGCACTGTCTGTCTCTTCAGGGCCCACTTCATCTTCAAGATCCCCATCCTTACTGTCTGAACTGTCTGAGTCTGAACCCGAAATGCTTGAAATATCACCTGTTAAAAGAAAGGCAGACAGGAAGATTATGCAAAAATTACACTTATTCAAACTGGGTGACATAAAACAGTTTCTCAGTGAGGTCACATGAGCATACATGACTCTACCTGTGCCAGTCTTCTTCTCAAACTC